TGTGGTCCCTCTGCTTTGAATCTTGTCCCCTAATGCTCTGAAGAACTTCTATCATTTCCCACCTTTTACAGGTTCTACCACCTCCCAATAGTGACACAGAGATCAAGCCTTTAACACATGGGCCTTTGTGAGACATTTAAGATCCAAACTGCTGTGTTCATGGTGGCTGAAAGAACTTATTAACAACATTAATTCGATCATACCCATTCTTTGTTTAAATTCCATGAGTACCTCTAGGATACAGTCCAATCTTGTTAGCCTTTGTGGCCTGTTCCCTGCTGGTGTGTGCAGTCCCACCTCTGGCCATGACTACTGAGCAGCACAGCTCTTCAAATAATATGTGTGCTTTTAATACTCTGTGCATTCATCCAGCTGCCTGTGGCGTGGGCTTAAAATGCACTGAAATCTCAGGGGCTGCAACTAAATACCGACAGACATCCATGATGCAAAGAGAGGTTTGGGTGGGGCCTGAGGTGACCAGGGAGAATGTGCTGTGAGCATTTCTAACAACTCTTGACTCTGATCAGAGGAGGTGTTATCCTCTGGGAAGGAGGTTTCAGTGAGACAAATGTCTGCTTGTCAGAGACGCCAGAAATCTGGATTTAAAACAAGAATATTGGCAACTACTTTAAATAAAAGTAAGGATTGAGGCTTCCTTCCAGAATGGCAGAATGTTGAGTGCAGCATCTTTCCTCCCTAGTAAAACAACCATCCGACTGGAGAAAAGTATAAAAAAGAATCACTCAGTGTTTTCAGAATTTTTCTTGAGGGCACAGAGCAAATGCAGAAACATTCTCATAGGAATGTATCATTAAGATCAGTGGGAATCTGTGGCATATGAATGACCCCCTCGCCCCCCACTTGCTCCCTCCACACCACCCCCAGTTCTAGCTTTGAGAAACTCTACCTAAATTTCTCTGCTCTGAGTGGGTATGGTCAAGAGATAGAGGGCTCCTTTCCCCTGCAGCTCCCAGCTCAGGGCAGTGGTTTCACGCTGGGAAGGGCAGGCCAACCATATTTCACATCTTCCCCATTCTTGGGATGCAAAAATTCTGTTCCTAGTGGAGTCAACTGTGACTCCTCCCCTCCACCTTGCCCTACTTCCTACTCCTAAGGTAGAATTTCAACTGTTGCTGAGTCTGGCCAAGAATGCTGGGTTCTGTTTTCTTCTTCCCCAACTTGTTTGCACAGTGGATGTTCCACACTAGAATGGAAAGGCTAAGAAATCCAGGGGCTGCTGCCTCCACTCCCAAACTCCCAAACTCCCCCTCCTCAGTGTCTTCCTGCAGAGCAGGGTGTCATTCCAGAAGTGAGATCCTGTTCCCACCCCAGCTCTTGTGCACTGCTGCCCCTGTGTAGAAGGAAAGGGAGGGTGAAAACCTCCTAGCCCAGTTTAAGGGATTGACCTTATTCAGAACACAGCATGAAGAAGTCCATGCCTAATGGTGTTGTCTGAACCAATGAAATTCTTGGTGGAGAACATTTAGGAGGACACTCATAGCCCCACAATATGAGTAGTAAGATGGGAGAACATGCAGAAATTTAACAGACAACACCATGGAAAGAGACAGCCAATCATAGCTGTCCTGGGATCACACCCATCCCTGGGTGATCTACAAGGTTTTGTGCAAGCACTGGGCCAAACCCACCCAGGAACCAGAGTAAGAAAAAGGAAAGACTTTTAACCATTTATCAACCTGCATACAGATCCATTGACAAACAGCTGAAACTTCAATAGCATTAGGGACATAAGCCCAACCTCTGCACACTGTTTGAACCATAAGCTACTGTGACCCAGGGGCATCTCCAAGGATGCCAGGATTAAAAATAAAATAAGGTCATGTGCTGCGTAATGATGCTTTGGTCATTATTTCTTCAAAATATGTTTTTAAAATCTCCATACTTAACCGCTCCTCAACTTTCTCACTTTTCTTTTGGGACTTTGACTACAATATGCATCACTGAATGGTGGGTAAGTTCTGAGAAATGCCTGGTCAATTGACCCCATCACTGTGTGAACATCATACAGTATACTTGCAGAAACAAAAACAGCTATGATGTCACTTGGCAATTTAATCTTTTTTTTTCTTTCTTTTTTTTTATTGGTTGTTCAAAACATTCCAAAGCTCTTGACATATCATATTTCATGCATTAGATTCAAGTTGGTTATGAACTCCCAATTTTACCCCAAATACAGATTGCAGAATCACATCGGTTACACATCCACATTTTTACATAATGTCCTATTAGTAACTGTTGTATTCTGCTACCTTTCCTATCCTCTACCATCCCCCCTCCCCTCCCCTCCCATCTTCTCTCTCTACCCCATCTACTGTAATTCATTTCTCTCCTTGTTTTTTTTCCCATTCCCCTCACAACCTCTTATATGTAATTTTGTATAACAATGAGGGTCTCCCTCCATTACCATGCAATTTCCCTTTTCTCTCTCTTTGCCTCCCACCTCATGTCTCTGTTTAATGTTAATCTTTTCTTCTTGCTCTTCCTCCCTGCTCTGTTCTTAGTTGCTCTTATTATATCAAAGAAGACATTTGGTATTTGTTTTTTAGGGATTGGCTAGTTTCACTAAGCATAATCTGCTCTAGTGCCATCCATTTCCCTGCAAATTCCATGATTTTGTCATTTTTTAGTGCTGCGTAATGCTCCATGGTGTATAAATGCCACATTTTTTTTATCTATTCATTTATTGAAGGGCATCTGGGTTGGTTCCACAGTCTAGCAATTGTGAATTGTGCTGCTATGAACATCGATGTGGCAGTATCCCTGTAGTACACTCTTTTAAGGTCTTCAGGGAATAGTCCGAGAAGGGCAATAGCTGGGTTAAATGGTGGTTCCATTCTCAGCTTTCCCAGAAATCTCCATACTGCTTTCCAAATTGGACGCACCAGTTTGCAGTCCCACCAGCAATGTACAAGAGTACCCTTTTGGCCACATCCTCGCCAGCACTTGTTGTTGTTTGACTTCATAATGGCTGCCAATCTTACTGGAGTGAGATGGTGTCTTAGGGTGGTTTTGATTTGCATTTCTCTGACTGCTAGAGATGGTGAGCATTTTTTCATGTACTTGTTGATTGATTGTATGTCCTCCTCTGAGAAGTGTCTGTTCAGGTCCTTGGCCCATTTGTTGACTGGGTTATTTGTTATCTTATTGTCTAATTTTTTGAGTTCTTTGTATACTCTGGATATTAGGCCTCTATCTGAAGTGTGAGGAGTAAAAATTTGTTCCCATGATGTAGGCTCCCTATTTACCTCTCTTATTGTTTCTCTTGCTGAGAAAAAACTTTTCAGTTAAGTAAGTCCCATTTGTTGATTCTGGCAATTTAATCTTATGGAAACACTGTGGTATATGTGGTCTGTCACCAAAAGAAACATTGTAATCAGGCACACTGTCATGCCTTTGTATCAGAAATGAAAACATGTACAAATACAAACACGTGTTCAAGAATGTTCATAGAGCATCATTATTCATAATAGCCCCAAAGTGGAAATATCCGAAATGTCCATTTATTGGTAAATGGATAAACAGTATGTGACATATTTATACAATGGAATATTATTTGACAATAACAGGAATGAAGTACCGATACCTATTACAACACTGTAAGCTGTGAAAATAAGCTAGACACAAAAGACCATATGTTAGGCAATTCTACTTACATGAAAGGTACAGAATAGGTAATTTTGTAGAAATAGAAGTGAGATTCATGGATGCCTATGGCTGAGGGGACAGAGGTGGAATGGGTTGGGGAGAAATGGAGAGTGATTGTTAATGTTACAGGGTTTCTTTTTATGTGATGAAAATATTTTAAAATCAGGTAGTGCTGACAGTTATTCAACTTTGTGACTATTACAAAAAGCATTGGATGATTCACTTTTAAATGTGTGAATTTTATTGTTTGTAAATTATATCTCAACAGTTGTGTTTAAAAACAAGGACTTGCTCAATGGGTACAAAATTACATTTATACAAGATGAGTAAATGCTAGACACCTGCTGTACAACATGGTGCCTATAGTTTATAATACAGCTTTATATACTTAAATATTTGTCAAGAGGATAGATTTTATATTGTGTTCTTAGATATGCACACAAAGCACAGGAATACAAGGAAATTTTTGTGGTGGAAATGTTTAGTCAGCATGGAGCTGGGGTCAGTCCTGGGACTGTGTGACTCCAAAGCCATCTTGTGCCCTTTCCATGCAACTTGAAGGGGATTTGATGGTATCATAGGTACATGCATCTTTCCAAACCCATCAAATTTGTATGCATTAAATGTGTGATGTTTTCAGTGTATCAATCACACTTCAATAAAGCCATAAAAATAAGGGTAAACTAGTGTCTAGCATATGGTAGGCATAAATGTGGTGTATAACTTAAGGGATTAAGCACAGTTCTCTGGAAAGTTTGCCTCCTATCTATAGTGAAGAAGTAGAGGGTTGTGTTAAAGGTGATTAGAGGTCTGAAAACATGGGGAAAGGATAGTGACAATGACAGAAAGAAGGCTGCTGACATGGAAGCTTACTTGGGCATGGGAGAGGAATGGGAATTCCTTTGGGGACATATTGAGTATTCGAGTAGAAATGTCGACTGAAGACTGATTTAAAAAGTATTGGGCCATCTCAAAATAAAAAATGAACGAGGGCTGGGGATATAGCTCAGCTGGTAGAGTGTTGCCTCACATGCACAAGGCCATGGGTTCAATCCCTAGCACCACAAAAACAAAACAAAACAAAAATGAACAGGGCTGGAACACAGCTCAGGGCTAGAGGTTCAATCCCCAGTAACACACACACACACACACACACACACACACACACAGAGAATAATTTTGGATAAATAAATATAAAATCTCCTTGCTAATGTGATAAACAGTTGTTTCCCTCTCTAATGAGTTGGGGGTTTGATGGGTTGATATAAAAATCATATGTAGTAAAAGGGAAAATTGAGTATCAATAACATGGTTATCAAAATGGTTTCTTATAGGTGTGTTCAGAAGTCATACCCTTCCCTACTCCCATCCCTTGGTGTCATCCTCATATTCATGGATGAATCTCTGTCCATTATACAACGGGCCATCACCAGTGTCATCAGCCGGACCCCACCTCGATTGCTGAAAGAGATCATCTTGGTGGATGATTTCAGCTCAAATGGTGAGCAACTTGAGCAAGGAATAATCATAAGAATTACCATTTGTCATCTGTGCTTGGCTGGAAAGGGGTTGTAGCTTAAGGTTTGGGATACCTTGGGCTTCTCATGTAGGGAAAAGAAAAGGAAAATTTATTGAGGAGCTATTTGGGCTACCATGTTTAATTTTCATAAAGCCAAGAGAAGATCATTTTCTCAGTTGCATAGATGATACCACTAAGACACAGAAAGATCACGTAGTATGCCCAAATTGCATGGAAAGTCAGTGTGGAACTGGGGTCCTTCCTGGGACTGTGTGACTCCAAAGCCATCTGTGCCCTTTCTGTGCACCATGAGGGGGACTTGATGATGTGAGGAGGGTGGGGGTCTCAAAAAGACCTCAGACACCAGGAAGGGATTCAGAGCTACCTTAAAGATATCAACCCAATCTCTACTGGTGATGAAGTCTGGAGTAAAAGAGCGTTGAGTGCTGAAACTCTCCGCAGTGACAACGATTCTTGCTCACAGGATGAATCTCCTGAGGTCTAGCTCAGTCAAGGAGGACGTGTGGGGAAGTGGCGGATAGTGAATCTTGCTGAATCCTTGCTTCTAAATTCATAGTCCCTGCTCCTTCCTTCTGAGCACTATGTCCTCAGGTATCTGAACTTCTCCACGCCCTGGTTTCCTTACATGGAAACATGGATGTTGATAATAATAACATCATGAATTAGAGTGAGAATTAAATGAGATAATCAGAGCAGCTAACATTATTTGTTCCAAACACTTTATGTGTGTTAACAGTTTTAATCATGATAATAACAATATGAAGAAGGTTCCACTTTTGTATTTTTACCATTTACATGGATGTAAAAAATTATGACACAGACTAATCAAAGAGCTTGCTGAACATCGAATAGCTGGTGATAGAATTAAGTTTTGGCCATAAACTTGAGTTCAGAGCCCTTGTTCTAACCACTATCTTCACTGATACAATACATTGATTATGTCCAGTTAGCTCTAGTTTTATTAATTTTGGGCACCAAATAAAACAAACTAGAATTAAGTTGTAAAGCCAGAGATTGGGCTAGTGATAAGGATGGATTTAACTGTGTAGGCTATGTAGTAGGGGCCCTTTATAGGAAGGATTTGGCTCTTTCCTGGGCATCTTTAAGTACAGGTGGGTTATTGTTGCTTCAAGATTTCCCTGAGGGGAGACACATACAAAATGACAACTTAAAACTTTCTCTTTTGGGTTTCCAGACACTGAAAAATATTTATTTTCTTCTGTTATATGCCTTCCCCTCTTGTCATTTCAATGTAACTAAATAAGATATAAAAAGGTATATTTTCTAGAGCAAAATTCCACTGAAAACCAAAGAAAACAGCATGACTGGTTTCATTCATTTCCAGATGTGAAGCCTGACACCAAGTTGTTCACCTGACTTTCTAACGAGAAGTAGGATCATCAGTTATTTGCCCATGATAGCTGAAGACAGCTGAAATCTTTTGCAGCCTGAGATGATTTCAGCTAAGACCTTTTACCTCTGGGACTCTGCTTCATCATGGGGCAAATGCAAGCATTAAGCTAGATCACTAAAATTTTTTTTTTTTTTTGGTGGGGAAAGAACCCTATAATGGTTACATAATTCCATGCTCCATGGGGAGTGGCTAAGACTTCATTCAAGACTTTTTCCTATGAAACAATAAAATGGATTATACACTATTATCAACATAGGGCAGACACATTTAAAGACAAGTCAAACAAAGGTCCCAATGTTCTAAGATGCATTACCATGATAATCCATCCTTCTAGACTTGGGTTTGGAACCATTTTTGTTTTTCATAAGGATAATTTGTTTGAAATGGCACAGAAAGAGGAGCTATTAGTCATTCCTTGACTGGTCAATGAAGCAGGAGTTAACTTCTCATTAACCATGGAAATACCAGCTATACTGACATTCAGTGAGCATATCCTAGAAATCTGCTGAGGAAAATAATAGGAAGTCTCTACTGTGCATGCTACAGGGAAATTTATTATCCATGTGAATTTGGAAACAAGTCACTAAAGTACTTCACACCTCAGTTTCCACATCTGTAACATTAGGGAAACAAATGGTGTCTACCTTCTAGGACCATGTGGGGGACTAAATAATATATGTAAAGTGCTCAGAACAGGCTCACTGTATTAGAAGTTTCTTCCTTCCTTCCTTCCTTCCTTCCTTCCTTCCTTCCTTCCTTCCTTCCTTTCTCTAGATGTGGAACTTTATTTGCATCAATCAAATGCTTTAAGCTTCATCAGAGCTAATCTAAGAGTTTTTGGAAATTACATCAATGTAGGCACAATCCTAAATTTTCTCCAAATTTTAGACAAATTCTCCAATCAACAGCTATTGTGTTTCTACCATGTGCTAAGCACTATGTATGGAAGAAGCTGTCAGAAATTTCAAGATGTTCCCATCTTAATTGGCCAGGAAAGGCACATCTGTGGAAGGGTACCTCAATGTATAAAGAATGCTGTCAAATTAAGTGAACTATCAGTCAGTATGAGGAAGCCCAGAGAGGGAGATGAGGGAGGCTTCCTTGAGGAGTGGGGCTTACACTGGGATTTGAAAACTTGTTAGGTTTTGAAAATGCAGAGAAAGTAAGAATGACTCAGGGGCTAGGATGAGGAGGGGATAGGTAGTCAGAGAAAAGAATGGTATGAGCAAAGACACAGAAGCCAAAAGCACCCTGGAATAAATCTTCAATTCCCATGCTGGACTATATGCACTATATAAAGATTATTATATAGAGAATGTGGAGAATCACGCAGGAAAAAGATACCATTTTGGAAACTGGAATACCCAAAAGATCACGTAAATTCTGGAAGAATCTGATCATCTTGGTTCACAATGGCCTGGGGGGTGATACTTAGCTACTCATTTCAAATTTGCTCTTCTGAGAGGGTGACTCAGAATCTGTGGCTCATTAGAGTTTTGGAGTTGGAAAGGTCTTGATAGATTACTTGCTATTTCCAAGTTGAAGAAACCGTCCCCAAATAGGAAGTGGCATGGAATCAGACAGTGATCCAACTAGAGTTTGACACCCACAGAAGAAGCTGTAAGAGATTCCAAGAAGTCCTATCTTAATTGATAAGGCAAGACACACCTGTGGAAGGATACCTCCAGGTGTGGACTTAGACTCATTGGCTCTCTTTTTACACCTTCAATAATTCAATCAATTACTTTTGAGTGTAACTGGGAGAGTTCTAAAATGGGACAAATTTTAGTGTCATATTCAGGTATATATTGATTCCATGTCCTGCCCATGCCTGGCCTCATAAGTATACTCGTCTTTTGAGAAAAGAACCAGCAATAATCTCATTCCTGTGCTGTGGGGGAGAGGAGCTGGGGAGAGGATTTGATAAACTCCACCAGGTACCCCCAGTCCTTGAGATGGTGTGACGTGGTGGTTAAGGAAAGCATGGGTTCATAGCCAAGGCATGCCACTTACTGGAAGTGTGACCCTTTCTTTTTCTCATTTCCTTAATCTGTAATCTAGTGCCTATCTTATAGAATTCTTTGAGAATTAAGTGAGTTAACATCAGTCAATACCTCAGAGACATTTGGTTAGGTGTTTTCCACATGGCTTAGTGATTTGCATGCAAGTTGTTTTCATACATGTAAAGAAAGCAGCTGTTAGACTGAGTCAAAGAATAAAGGCACAGACAGGCTTTATAAAAAGGAAGGAGGGGGAGGGAAGAAAAAACTTATAAACAGTCTGGGAATAGTGAATCTTGTTTGCATAATTTGGGGAGTAAACTCTTTAGCAAGAAGTTGGCAAAAGATTAGTCTACACATTCTGTCCCAGTTAGTCCTTCAGCAGGCCAACCAGGAATATGCAAAACAAATCAGTCTCAGTTGTTTATGGGTTTTTCAGAAAGTCCTGTGAGTTTAGCTGTGAAGAAGATGTTCCAGGCTGTCTCTGCAAAATTGTCCATCACCATCTCCAATTTCATAAGGCCAGGTCTGTCCTACCATCCTCATAAGAATTTCTCAATGTATAAAATGGACTTCTAACAGTGGCTGGTGCCTACTAAGTAGGCTTGTCAATTTAATTGTGAAGTAAAGGAAATTAAGAATAATAAGATTAAACCTCAGGGTGGAAGAAAGAAAAGAATTATGTGCAGGAAAACATTACCTATTGTATAGGTCAAGGTTGAAGAATTGCTTATCCTACAATGGTAATCCAACCACTATTATAAAATAGTATCAAATTTCTGTACCACATTGATTATTGCACTCAGTGTTTCTGTGGGTGTGTGTTTGGTTGGCAGGAGAACTAAAGGTGTCCTTGAATGAGAAGATTAAGCTTTACAACCAGAAGTATCCTGGATTGTTGAAAATGATACGGCATAGTGAGAGAAGAGGTCTTGCTCAAGCACGCAACACGGGCTGGGCAGCTGCCACTGCTGATGTGGTTGCCATCTTGGATGCTCATATTGAAGTGAACGTTGGGTGGTAAGGTTCCAGGAGGTTTTTTTTTTTTTTCTCTGAGAAAGGACAGATTAGAGATATCACACATGTTCAGAATACAAGATAGGATATTGTAAAAATAGGAAAGTCAATACCAGTCTTTAAACAAAGGGATGCTCCATGGGAGGAATAGATGAACACTAATAGGGCAGAGGGGTGGGAGGGGAAGGGAGGGGGCAGGGGGTTAGTAATGATGGTGGAATGTGGTGGACATCATTATCCAAAGTACATGTATGAAGACACGAATTGGTGTAACATACTTTATATAAAAACAGAGATATGAAAAATTATGCTCTATATGTGTAATAAGAGTTGTGATGCATTCTGCTGTCATATAATTAAAAAATAAAAGCAATTAAAAAAAAGAACTTGAAAAAAAAACAAAAAAAATAAAAACAAAGGGATGCTCCAAAGACTCAGGAATTCTGGTTGGCTAAAAAATGTGATGCTCTGTTAAAGAAAAAAAAAATGGACAGGAAGTATGGAAAGCTATGATGGAAATCAAATAGCTTTTCCCAGCCCTGAAAGTATATGATATAAAGATTACATAGAGCCCCGTGCAGTGGCTCATGCCTCTGGAGGCAGGAGGATCATGAGTTTAAAGCTAGCCGTAACTTAGCAAGATCCTAAGCAACTTAGCAAGACCCCGTCTCAAAATAAAAAATAAAAAGGTCTAGGGATGTGCTCAGTGGTTATGCATTCTTGAGTTCGATCCCTGGTTACCTCCCCCCACCAAAAAAAAAAAAAAAAAAAAAAAGATTATATGGAGAATCACAGTCACACAGGAAATAGCATTTTGGACACAGTGAGACCTATGAGATCATGTAAATTCTGGCAAAATACTGATAGTCCTGGTTCACAATGACCTGGGGGTGATATTGAGGTAGCAATTTCAAATCTTCTCTTGACATGGATCAGCAGTTAGTAGCCCTGGATACCTTGAAATCTGCAGAAATTCTCTGGACTCAAGAGAGTCCTACTGTCAGCCAGCTCAGTCTAAATGAGAAGACAGTGTCAGGGCAATGTGTGAGCAGGTTTGTTAGCTCACTCTTGCTGCTTGCCGTCACATCCATGCTGGGCTGATTATAAATTCTTCTTCTAGGGCAGAGCCCATCTTGGCTAGGATTCAGGAAGACCGCACCGTGATTGTGTCTCCTGTGTTTGACAAAATTTGTTTTGATACTTTACAACTGGAAAAGTATGGACTGGCAGTGCATGGGTTTAACTGGGAACTATGGTGCCGGTATGATGCACTGCCACAAGCCTGGATTGATCTGAATGATGTCACTGCTCCAGTGAAGTAAGTCTGAGTAGGCTCAGGGGACTTGATGAGAACATGGGAAGGCATTAGTAATGGTGGGTTTTTTTTTTTTTTTTTTTTTTTTGGTGCTAGTAATGGAAGTGAAATGGAGGAGTGGAGGGTCTGGGTTGAAGGATAAGGGAAAAAAGAGAGAGGGAGAAAAGCATGATGAGCTGACTCCAGGTGAGAATGCATAGACATTTTTGGCTATTTAGGGCTTTCACATAAGAATCAAGCCAATTATTTAATGTTTTAGAAAACACTTGGTCTACTTCAAGCATTATCAACTATGAGGCAGGGATATCAAGATGAAAAAGCTGTAATTTTAATATAATTTGAGAAGTGTTCTGATAGCACAGTGGCTGGGGGAAACTTCCATGCACTTAGTCTAGTCTGAGGATTTCAGGCAGGCTTCAGGATAAGGGGAGGCTTAGGTAGAGTTCTGAAGACAAAACCATCATTGGGCTTCCCACCTCTTACCTCCATCCTGACCTATTTCTTGTAGAGGGATGAGTGACTCTCTTGCTGTGTGCTCTACAGGAGTCCTTCCATCATGGGCATCCTGGCTGCCAACAGACTGTTCTTGGGAGAGATTGGGGCTCTGGATGGTGGGATGCTGGTCTATGGAGGAGAGAACGTGGAACTTAGCCTAAGGGTGCGTACATTTCCCTTCTCTTTATGGGACAATGCCAAAGAGGAATGTGTTAGTCAGCTTTCCATTGCTGTGACAAAATGGTTGAGGTAAACAACTTGAAAGGAGGACATGTTTATTTTGGCTTACAGTTTCAGTCCATGGTTGCTTGACCCTGTTGCCTTTGGGCCTAGGGCAAGGCAGTAGTACATCAGGTCATGGCATGGAGCACATGGTGGAGAAAACCTCTCACCTCATGGAACCCTGGAAGCAAAGACAGAGAAAGTGGCAGGGTCCCACCATCCCTTTCAAGGGCACACTCACAAAGACCTAATTTCCTCCCACTCAACTCCACCCTTTAACAGTTCTATCACCTCCCTGAAGAGCCACAACATGATTTTGGGGGGACACTTATGATTGGGGGAGGGCAGAGGAGAGGGAAAATGGGTAATGAAATAGAGCAAATTATGTTAGATGTATATATGAATATGTCACAATGAAACCCATTATTATGTATAATTGTAATGAACTAATAAAAAATCCAAACCATAATATGGAAACAATAGGAAAGTAGCAAGATCTCTGGAATCCTAGGCAAGGCTGAATGTTATTGGCTTAAGAGGTAGACACATTCTTATGTTTCCAGATCACCACGCCATAGAGAGCCAGGCAAGAATCTAGGTGTAGTGCAGCTACACCTAGATTGGCCTATATAATCTGGGAGGTATAGTTGGGAAGGGGTAGAGCTAAGGTTAAGCAGATATTGTCCCTTTTTTCCCCTGAGGACTCTAGGTATTTACAAGCATCTCCTGGATAAAATAACTTTGAGGAGTCCAAAGACCGAGAAAACTGGAGTGGTTAGAGGGACTAGGGAAAGTGGTTGAGTGGGCAGCCTGCCTGCTTCTGCATGGGCAAGTGGAACAGTGGACATTATGACCTGTGCCTGTGCTGAGGTGTTGTATAATCCAAGAGAAATATCCAGTAATGGGTACAGCATTGGCATCCTCAGTTCAGCACGAGTTCTTCCCAGTTTCTCTGTGTCTGCAGTGATTCTACCTTCACCCCTCAGCAGTGTTTCCTCCTGCCAGCTCCTGAAAACTTTCCCTACTTATTTAGGTCAGATATACAACCTGAATTTTGGGCTCTATAAAGGAATTCAAGGTGCAAACCAAACAACCAGAGGAATTCCAAATGCAGGTTCATATTACATCAGTGTATCCGTTAGCTATTGCCAAAAATGCTGTATAACAAACTATCCCAAACTTGGTGATTTAAAGCAATAATTATTGATTCTCACAGATCTGCATGTTCTGCTGGGCTTGGGTGGGGGTGACTGTGTTCCACAGAGGTTTATTCTGTAGCTCAGCTGATGGAATAGCAGCTATGTGGGGAAAGAAAGCTGTTCTCATGGCACACTAGCGGGCAGGTGGAACCATGTGGCTCTTTCCAGGTAAGTCACAGGGCCAAGCTCAAAGCGGCACGAAGGGTTGAAGCCAATAAATTCAACACATCACAATTTATTTAGAGCAGGTTTTGTGCATAAGTATAGTCCTACCACAGTATCCTTTTACCTCTTCTGTACAGTCTACAGGGCCTTGTTAGAAGGTCCTGACCCTTGGATTTGTTGAACAACATAAAGGTCTCTATGTCATACCTGCTCTGTCAAACACCTAAAGTGGGGAGTGACATATACTATAAACTCAACAAATGGTTGGTGGTAAAAATAATAAGAAGAAGAATGTTGGGGTGGCATTGTAAAAAAAAAATGCTGGATGTAGCTTCTAATCCTGGCTTTGCCATATCATTATGGACTGAACTTCTAGAAAATGGCTTTTTTTTTTCTCTCCTCCCCACTGAAATTCTGTACCTTAGACCAGATGGTCTCTGGTCCATTGCTGTATTTGGAGGAACAAGATAATTTCCTGTTTACACTTTATTCAGTTTCATCAGCTTTAATTTCTTTCTAATTGAATTAGATGACCCACAGACAGATGTTGGGCCCAACTAGGACTGACTCAGGATCCCATATTTATGTTAGCAAATGAACTTTGAATCTAGTCTGAGTCTTACCTTAATCCACAATCGCTTTGGCAGAAAAAGTTAATATTTTTGTTTGGGGGTCTTGATCAGTTTTCCCGTTTATGAAATGAAGAGAAGCATTCTTGTATAACATACCTCCTAAGAATGATGGTGCAATTAAAATGTAATAATGAGTTTACAATGGTTTTGTAAAGATATTAATTAGATGTCATTCAGCTTCTGTGATGGAGGCCAAAATGACAAAGACTTAAATAAGACAGAAATCAATTCTCTTTCTCATAACTCTTTAAACATAAGCAATTTAGGACTGATGTGGCAACTCCAGGGACAAGAGCCTTCTATTTTGACACACTCAACACCACCTCTGTATTCTGCACAATAGGGAAAGGACATAAAAAGAGAGAATGCTCTTTCTTTTGAGGGTGGTGTCTGAACGTTGGATATATTGCTTCCTCTCATTCCATTGGCTGCTACCTAGTCATGTATGCAAAGGACTCTGGGAAATGTGGACCAGCTAGTTGGTCACATGCCTAGTTATTCTCTCTATAACTATAGATATAGGAATAGCTCTCAAGGGAACAATTAAAATGTAATGCAAAAAATACAAATGAAAAATAATTATTGCAAACATAATTAGCAAAGCCCTAAAGATGACCCCAATTCCATGGTGACCAGGTATTTCCTACCTACCAAAGCTTTGGATGGATGAATTTGGCTGGAGACTGGAAACACTCATTATTTCTGTTTGTAATGCTGGCTCTGTTTCCATTCTCCCACCCCCACATATAGAACTCTGACATTTCAGTTTCTATAAGAAATCCTATTTCTTTTTAACACTTGGCTTTTAAAAATAAATTTTGATGAAAACATAGTTATTATCAAGAGAAGGACCATTCTTTCCTTTTATTGGATAAAACAATTCCACTTATATCTGGGTTCCTTGGTTTCTATGTGTGTGACTATTTGTCTATGTACTTATTTATTTATTTTGGTACTGGGAATTGAACTTAAGGATGCTTTATCACTAGACTACATTTCTAGTATTTTTTATTTTTATGTTTGATAAGTGAAGCCAAGTTCTTGTCCCCAAGCCATGAAGTGGCTACCTGGGCAGGTTGGAGAGTGGGCAGCAAGCAAGGGCTGCAAACACATGGAGTCCATGTGCTTGGGCCTGTGGTGTGGCCAGGGCTAAGGGGAGCCAGGATGAACACACCTGTCACCCCAGCCCTGTGAAGATGCCCACTACACACAACACCACAGCTGGAACCCCCCAGCATTCACCATCCAACAACTCAATCTCCTGGTGGGAAAATGGAAGTGGGGCAGACTTGAATGGGATTGCAGGGCTCACCGATAGAGTCGGTATTTTTCCAAATTCTGGTTAGCATAAATCTTGACCAAACATATTGGTACTTTTCCAAACCCTAATTAGCATAAGTTTAGACCATTAGCATTGACCCAAGTACTAAGTGCTGTACAAACCCCTTGACTAGCACATTCAGGAGACAACCCCTAATGGGGGTCTCCTCTTGTCCCTGTGAGAGTTCTTTCTCATCTTCACACTTGAATAAATCCTACTCCTTTCACTCTTGCTTTCTGTTGTTCTGTAAATTTTATTCTTCGGATTTGTGAGACAAGAATCTGGGAAAGCGTGGGGGATGAGCTGCTGGGTTCTGTTGCAACACTAGAGAGGATAATCCACCATGTAGACCTGCAACACACCACTTGATAGTAGTGGAGAAGAATCCAGCTTTGTTGGCTGTAACCCCAAGATCTGCTGCCAGTAGGCATCCCCTGCTGTGATTAGCTGCAAACACTAAAACGGGCTTTCTAGGCTGCAGTTGGCCTGCAACTTACACTGGTCCCACCTCTCAACTGAAGCAGAGAATTGAGTTGTGTCTCAAACTCTGGTTTCAACAGGGTCTTGCTACATTATTGAGGCTGGCCTCCAACTTGTGATCCTCCTGTCTCAGCCTCCAGAGTCACTGGGATTACAGGCATGCGCCACTGCATCAAACTTATTTGCCTATTGTGTGATTAATTTTTGTTTTGGTTCCATTTTTAACTCATTTTTTTGTCTTTATTTTTTAATGAATACATTTTATTTATTAATAATTCTTTATTTATTAATGAATACATAATAATTATACATATTCATGGAGTCCAATATGATGTTTTAATTCAGATATATATTATGTAATGATCACATCAGGGTAGTTGGCACATCCACTATATTTTCATTGTAAATATTTTTATTTAAGATTTAAAAAAATTTTTTATTGATTATTTTAAGTTATACATAGTGATAGGATTCATGTTGACATAATTATAAAAGCATGGAATATAATTTACTCTAATTCAGTCCCCAGTTTCCCCCTTCCCTCCTTTCCTCCCTCCCCATGTTCCCTAACCTCTACTGATTTTTCTGTTATTTATTTATAGAAATTTTTAAATTAGTGTCTTGTGGATGTACATGATGGTGAGATTGATTCACTGTGGTGTACCATATATATACTTAGGAAAGTTAGTTCACACTCATTCCACTGTCTTTGTTCCATCCCTCCTCCCTTCATTCCCCTTTGTCTAATCCACTGATTTTTTTTTTACGCCTCCCCACCTCTCCCCATTTTGGATTGGCTTCTGCATGTCAGAGAAAACATCTGAACTTTGGCTTTTTGGCACTGGCTTAGTTCACTTAGCATGATAGTCTCCAGCTCCCTCTTTTTACTTGAAAATTCCATAAAGTCCTTTCTTCTTTATGGATGAAAATACTCCATGGTCTATATACTACATTTTTTTATCCATTCATCTGTTGAAGGGCACCTGTGTTGGCTCTATAGCTTGGCTATTGTGAATTGTGCTGCTATAAACATTGATGTGGCTTCATCACTGTAGAATGCTGATTTTAAATCTTTTGGATATGTGTCAAGGAGCAGCATATCTGGGGCATACTGTGGTTCCATTCCTAGTTTTTTGAGGAATCT